TCCATACAATAACAGATTTTTATGAAGTCATAACCTCTCACATTCAAATAATCACTATTTATTACTAGTTCTATTATTTTCTTATTATATAAGTTTATAATAAAAAAATTTGCTAATAGTTGTTTCCTGTTCACTAGCATTATCCAGAAAGAGATCTTGGTTGTCAGATAGTGGCAGCATATGAAGTACTGGGAAGCCAGCCATGCTCTCTGTTCTGTTGACTTATCCTGCACATAGAACAAACTATAGCAGATTATGGACACCCAGAGCAAAATTCTTTCATGTATGGCTTCTGTTTAACTATTAAGATACTTTTGAAGAATGACAAATAATAATGATTATAATTAGTAATGATTTCAAATTAGTAATCAAATTAATGAGGATTTCTTCACTAATAATCATTTCCATTTTTAGATTATATGGTAAAAAGCAAACAGGTAAAAAAAAAAAGAAGGATATTAATTAGCAATAGTGTTACAATTTAATGCCTAAGTCAAATAAACCTACTATGTGAAATAAGCCTCAGTTGCAAATGATCAGTTTGTCTAAGTGAGGTTTTCCCTGTAATTTTAGGGTTTGATAACTCTTTATGTTATGGCAAACCACCTGTTTGACTCTCCTAACTAACTGGTAGCTGGTTCTATTGTTTTCTCCTCCTGGGCTATTGTATGTACATGTTTTATTTCATACTGTAAGACTTTGGGTGTGCTGAGATGGGTTTTTATTTTGAATCTGTTTCATCTCAAAAACAAAATGTTTAATTATGCAAGATAGTGTCTTCTTTAGGAATTCAGGAAGATTGACAGTGGACACATTATCCAACCACATCACCCCTCCATTTCTCCCCTTGATCTGTTTGCTTTTAAACAGCAGTGTTGGTCTGAACTCATGGAAAGAGCGGGCTCTGTGATATTAAAATATCTGTACTCTCATTCCAGACATGGTATTTAACCTCTCTGAGCTTCATTTTTATCCTCTGTGGCAGTGAGGACATTTGACTCCAACATCTCTTTCAGCTTTAAAAGAGCCTTAGGATTCTAATTTTACTTTAATTCTCTTAGGATCCATATGATGCTGACTGAGAGGTCAGAGATGATGTCACCCACTTCTCCCTTAGATCTGCATTTTCCTAAATACCGCACCTCGTGTACCTACAAAGAGAAAATAGTTCCCTCTCTCTTGAATTTATACGAGTTGAGCCTTGCTGGCCTTGTTGAAGAGGCTTCTGCTCTGTGTCAGATGGTTTTCTTTGTCTCTGTCTCTATTCTTCCCACCCCCAATATCCTGGTACATACATCTCAGCTCCCTTCTGTGACCCTTCATCCATGTACACTTGAAAATTAGATTCAAATTACTATCTGTGTCTTCATTTCACTTTCAATATTGAAAACATATAAACATAAACTAATTCTCTCAATCTAGCTTGATTATTTACCTACTGACTCATTAAAAAGTGACGTTAGCACTAGAGCAAGAGACCATATAATAGAGAAGGAAAGTAATTTACTTGGCCAGTTTATTTGTGTATTCTCACAAATGTCATAGGAAAGGTTTGTCCTTGGGATAAGGGTGTTTTCTCACCCAGTCTGGTCTCTCCGTCTGTCTGATTCCTCAATTAACTGACACCTCTGTGCCAGTGATTTCATCGTGGACTAACTTCGTGGACAAACTAGGAATAGTTATCCAAGGACTTACACACTCCTTTTACACACTCCTTTTACAGCATGACTGTTATTGCTGCCTAAGTAGCACTGTCAGGAGGGAGGGAAATGAAGGAAAGGCTCTTGGAGAGAGTGTTTTTAAGACATGCAACAATTTGCAAAGGGTAAGTATTCTGACAATGTCTATTGCAAGCCTGAACTCTAAACAAAATTCCAAAGATTAGACAAGAATAAATTGGCTCTTGCGCAGTATTCTGTTTCTTGTTATAGAGCAGAATTCAGTGCTAAGGACATCTACATTAAGTCTAAAATAAAAATGGTGTGGTTTTATAATTTTAAAAATACATGAGATTTATTCCTATGTTTTTGCAGTGCTTACAAACTTTCCTCTGCCTTTGGACGTGAAAAAATAAAAAGCACTATGAATTCCTTTTTCTGGTTTTTAAATTATAACATTAGAGAAATAAACCAAACAAAAAAGATTTTGGATCATTCATACCTGACCCACAAGAGCTATTCACTTTATTTGACCATTCACAGATAATTTTCTTCCAGCTAACTTCAGGGGAAAAAACGGCGAGTGATACTGATTTTTTTTCTATTGTCAAATACCTTATAGCAGGGGTCCTCAAACTTTTTTAAACAGGGGGCCAGTTCACTGTCCCTCAGACCGTTGGAGAGCTGGACTATAGTTTAAAAAAAAAACTATGAACAAATTCCTATGCACACTGCTATACATATCTTATTTCGAAGTAAAAAAACAAACGGGCAAAAACACCCGCATGTGGCCCAAGGGCCATAGTTTGAGGACGCTTGCCTTATACCATGGTTGGAAACACCTGTGAAATTTTGCTGTTGTTGAAAACTTATCTTCCTACACACATGCATGAGCATGCAATATACTCACCCACATGCACATATTTAAAAGATTTAGATTGTATCATATATGTCAATGCATCATCACATTATTTAGGATACTTTTAAATTGAAAAACTGCATATTCAAAATATTTATTTGCTTTAATCACATACATCTTGAAAAATAACCTAATGATTATGACAATTATTTGAGTAAAAATGATAGTGCTAAATGTGTTTATTCATTGGAAAGGAGTAGAAAGCACTTTGAAAACTAAATATTGTATAACCAAATAAATACCTCTGGTATCAAATAAGGAATTGATGTGGCTTATGGAGTGTGGCCCAGCAAGTAAATGCCAGGTGGAAATATTTTTAAGGCAAAGACATAATTTTGATGATTATATTACAATGCAAGAGCAACTCAAAAATAACTTCATATGGAATAACCACTAAATGTCAGTAAGCATGGATACAAAATACATTACTGAATCACCATTGATGTTTGAGCTCTGACACTTTTGACTATAAAAATGACACATTTACTTTTGCTTTAGAACATCCTCTCGTTCTCCCCAAGGTCTGTCACTTTGTGATGTGGAGGTCAGAAGGGGTTGGAGCATGGGAGCAGGTACACTCAGAGAGCCAGAGAGAGCACTGGGAATAGCAAGCTCTTGATTTCACCTTTCACAGTTAGTATTCTACATTTACGTGGCATTGCAATAATCATGCATAAGCCAGCAACCTTTAAGCAAAACACCCACATTTTTTTTTTTTTTTTTGTAGCATTGTCTATATGAGCTATTTGACTGGATTTTTTTTTAACTTTTCAGTTGGTAGCTATGACCTCTATGTGGACTGAATTTATGAGTGTTTCTTTTGGGGGAAAAAAAAACAGGTATGGGAAGCATTTGAGATGTGTGTTTTCCCATATCTTACTTTTCCCTATTGTTTGGGGTTGGATTTCCTTGATCATAGAATTTGGGGCTGAATTTCAAGGCCAATGCATTTGAAAGATTTTCTTTATTGATGAAATAAGGTCAAAACTATGTACCTATCCCCATTCCCATCTTTTTCTTCATCTGGGCTTATTTTAGTGATAAGCAGAAGGTCACTGGTCTAGAATTGGTGGCTTTCTCATCAGTGGCTGCCTCTGGCATGTCTCCACATGTCTGCCAAGGGGCTGAGAGCTCACCTTTGAGGGAGTTTGTGCGTGGGCCACCTTATAGCTCCCCCACAGTCTCCAGGGTGCTAGCAATGAGAAGAACTAACAGTTTTTGAATATCTAAAAGGAATTGGCCCAATTCAACTTTTATCCTTGCTTTTATAGGTAAGAAAACCGAGGCACAATGAGTGAGTAATTTTTCCATTGCCAGCTAATAAGTGGTGCTGCTCAGATTTGAAGTCAGAGAGGACTCACAGCAAAGCTTTTGCTCCTGAGCATGCGGATGTTTCACTTGTTGAAGCAAGAATATGTGTGCCTGCTCACTCACCCTCTGTGTGTGTGTGTGTGTGTGTGTGTGTGTGTGTGCGCGTGCATGCATGTGAATGTACAGTTGTAACTTCTGTAAATAAAAATACCACTCAGTGAACTGGGCTTACTGTAAGTTCATCAATTTTTGTCATGACTGTGATAGTTAATTTTATGTTTCAATTTGGTTATGACATAATTCTAAGTTATTTAATCAAACAGGAATTGAGGTGTTGCCATGAAGATATTTTGTAGATGTCATTAACACCTGTAATCTGTTGAATTTAAGTAAATGAGATTGCTCTCAATAATGCAGGTCCTTATCCATCAGTTGAAGCCTTAAGAGTAAAAACCAAGATCTCTTTCAGAAGAAATTCTATCCCAGACTACAGCATTAACTCCTGCCTGAGTTTCTAGCCTCCTGGCCGGCCCCAAAGATTTCAGCTTGCCAGTGCCCCAAAGATTTCAGAATTGCCAGTCCCCCAAATTGCATGATTCAATTCCTTAAAATGAATCTCTTTAGATAGATAGAGATATAAAGTTGATCCTTGTTATTGTTGGTAGTTATGTTCCATAAAATCAACATGAACACTGAATTAGTGAGTACTGAACCATTGTTCTTAGAGAAAATACAGGATTAGGTTAAGAAAATTTTGAAAATTAAAAAAATTAAAGTAATTTAGCAAATTTTAACACATTAAGCCATGTCTTAAGGTAGGGTGTGGACCCTCTTCCTGACAAATTGGATGAACTTGATCTGGAATAGCAAATGTATCTTAACAAATGATTTGTCTCTTGTTCTTTGGTTGGTTTGTTCAAGCTGAAGTAAATATAAATGTCCTAATATGACAATCTAGATGAATTGTATATTTTTTCATAGTAGTAGCTGATGTTCAACTTGACTTGACATATCTAACTTTCCAAAGGATTATTGTGACTTCATAGCAACTTACTGTTGTGTCTATAAAATGTATTAATATATTCATTTTTAAAAACGTATTGAGCACTTACTATATGCCAGGATTTGGGTGCTGGAGATAAACTCTTGATGGGTAAAATCCAGACCCTGCACTCATGTTGCTAAAAACCTGGTAGAAAAAAGAAAGAAAAAAAGTATGGAAAACAGTAAGAATAATTATAACTTGCCCATAAACAGGAAAATGGGGCATGTTAGTCTTTATAAGGCTAGAGCCTGCACTGGGATCCCTGGGAGAAAATTCTAATGGGGCTCAAGTTATAAACTAAAATCTGAAGTACATGCACCTGTTCTTTAAAGACAAAGGTTTACTTTTCCATAATGTGGAAGACTGACATCTCACATAGGCCTGGGAATAGAATCCCATGTATTGAAAGAGAAGTGACCCTTAGAAACATAGCTAAGGAAAGACCTACAGCCTAAAAAAGTATGATAATAGTAGGTATTATAATCCTTACTCTAAGAAATGGGAATTGGCAACCATAGGTTGTCCTGCATGGGACAGAATGTGTTTGCTGAGTTCACTCACAAGAAAATTGAATATGCATATAATTCTATTAAATAGACATGGCAGATAAAAGATTTTAATCAGAGAAAGAAAACCAGGGACAGTTGTTAATCTGCGTAAATGTCTAGGGAAAAGCACATCTCCCTCCTCACTTCTAGATGGTAGCTAAGAAAGTTAACTCTGGCAATATTATGACTATTATGGAACCAATCTCAAAATTAGTTGTAAAAAATAAATATGTGCAAAGCTATAGTAATCAAGACAGTGTGATATTGGCAAAATAACAGACAAATAGATCAATGGAACAGAATAGACCAGAAATAGACCCACATAAATAGTCAACTTATCTTTGAAAAAGGAGAAAAGGCAACACTATGGAGCAAATACAATTTTTTCAACAACTGGTGCTGTTGTTGGATATCCACATGCAAAAAGCAAAAAAAACCAGAAAAATCTAGACACAGGCTTTATACTCTTCACAAAAATTAACTTGAAATGGGTCATAGATCTAAATATAAAATGCAAAACTATAAAACTTCTAGAAAGTAACATAGGAGAAAAACCTGCTTAATTTTGGATATGGCGATGACTTTTTAAATACAATGCCAAAGGCATGATCTATGAAAGAAATAATGAATAAGCTGAACTTCATTAAAATTAAAAACTTCTTTGTGAAAGAAAGTATTGAGAGAATTAAAAGATAAGCCATAGACTGAGAGACACATCTGATAAAGGACAGTTATCCCAAATATATAAGGGACCTCTAAAATTCAACAATAAGTAAACAAACAACCTCATTAACCAATAGGCCAAAGATCTTAAAAATACCTCACCAAAAAAGATGTACAGATGACAGCTTAGTGTATCGAAAGATGCTCCATATCTTATGTCATCAGGGAAATGCAAATTAAAGCAACAATGAGACACCATTACACACCTATTAGAATGGCCATAATCCAGAACACTGGAAACACCAAGTGTAGGGGAGGGTGTGGAGCAACAGTAACTCTCATTCATTTCTGTTGGGAATAAATAATGATACGGCCACTGTAGAAGATAGCTTGGCAGTTTCTTATAAAACCAAATGTGCTCTTACCATATGATCAAGCAAAGGATAATAGTCTTCTTGGTATTTACCCAAAGAAGTTGAAAATATATCCAGACAAAAACCTGAACATGGACATTTATAGTGGCTTTATTCATAATTACCAAAACTTGCAAGCAACCATGATGTCTTTCAGTAGGTGAATGGATAAAGAAATTGTAGTACATCTAGACAATGCAGTATTATTCAGTATTACAAAGAATTGAGCTACCAACCCATGAAAAGACATGAAGAAAATTTAAATGCATACTGTTAAACGAATCTAACTATATGAAATCCTGGAAAAGGCAAAACTGTGGGGACAGTAAAAAGAACAATGATTGGCAGGGATTGCTGGGGTTTGTGGTGCTGAATAGATGGAGCATAGAAGACTTTTAGGAGAGTGAAAAAAAGCACCATATAATAGTACTTATGGACACATATCATTGTATATTTGTCCAAGCTCATAGAATATACAATACCACAATTGAACATTAATATAAACTATGGACTTTGGGTGATAATGATGTGTCAACGTAAGCTCATTAATTGTAACATGTGTATCACTCTGGTGGGGGATGTAAAGTATTGGAGGAAGATAATGGGAGAGATTATGCATATGTGGTAGGAGGTATATGAGAAACCTCTGTACCTTCTTCTTAATATTGCTGTGAACCTAAAACTTCTCTCAAAATATAAAGTCTTAAGAAAATAAATATGATCATGGTAATGTTAGAGAGTAGTCTGAGTGAATGTAAAGAGGCAGAAACTGCAGTGCATATAAATTCAGTGGTGCTGGAAAAGCACAGTTGTGTCTGGGAGAGATGAAGGGAGGTGTGTGAGAGTCATAAAGAAGTAAAGGAAAGGAGTTAAAGGAAAACTTACCTGTTCTACTTATTAAACTCAGAATTCATGCTGTCGTGGATGGGGATCTCATGAGGGTTCTAAAAAAGGAAGTCCTATGAATAAATTTGAATTTTAAGTAGGATTCTGAGATAGCTGTGAAGGGGATGGATTTGAAGGGACAAAACTAGGAGCAAGAAGACTAGTACCCAAGTCATGGCAATGATCCATGTAAAAAATGGACCTCGGGCAGAACTAAATGATAGGGATGGAAAAGACATACTAGGTTTCAAAATACCTGAATGGAGGAGAAGAGGGAGAAGGAGGGATCAAAGATGACATACACATTTCTACCATTAGCGTGAACTCTAAAAAGCAGGACTTGAACTCTTTACAAGAGGCTAATGAGACCACAGTGGATATTACTGATGCACATTTTTAACAATGAGCTTGCAAGACAAGATAGATTTTATTCTCATTAAGTGAACTGCTTCTCAGTTAAGCAGTCGGATTTGCATAGGTTTGAGTTTACCATGTATCATACAGAAATAGAAAGAGCTTTGGGAACCTGATGACCTAAATTTAAGTCCTACTTCAGTCATTAATCATTGTGTGACCTCGAGTTAGTTACTTAACTACTTTAACTTTCATCTCTTTAAATATTAAATAAAAACAAGGAAAATCTATTTAATGGAAAAAGATATATAAAGGCAATATCCAAGAAGTAAAAGCCATAAAACTAAAACTATTTGTTTTAGAACAGATTCCCCCCAACATGTATAGAAATACATATATAAAATACAGAGTTGATAAAGCATTGTATTCAAGAGAGCGAGGTCTAAAATCCAACTAATGAGAATAGATCCAGTGTCACTTCCTACTTATGTAACTTCTGATAAATTATAAAACCTCTCCATGCCTTAATTTCCTCTTTTATAAAATGGGAAAATTAATGGTACCAACCTTATAGGTTTGGTGGGAAGACTATAAGATATTTTCTTAAACTTAATATCACTGAACAAATATTTTTATTATGAATACATAAATGTGTATGTATATAAAATACATGTATGCATATAGGCATGTTTAGTAGGTTGAATCATATAAAATTGCCAGTATTCAACCATTTTCACTTACACAAATGGCAATGTCTTATAATTAGATCATAAATATTTATATATAGTGGTCTCATTATCTCTTTTTTGCTAATCTTCTTAGGCAAACATTGGCTTCAAGAAAGAGTTAAATTTATTGTCCACTAAATTGCTATTTGTCTACTCTATTCACTAATGTGAGAGAAGCAATAGAGTGCAGACTGAGCCCAGCAGTACTTTTGGGTCCCAACTCAGAACTGTATATACTTGAACAAATTACTCAACATCTCTAAGCCTCAGTCACCTCCTCTCTACAATGGAAAAATTATAAAATTGTTATAAGTATTAAATTAGTTGATGTATGTATAGTGTATACCTTCTAGGCCAGCGGATAATGAGCTCTCAAAAATGTTAGCTGTTAGTATACAAACTCCTAATTATCCACGTAAATTCCCTTGTATACTGATGACATTATATTTTCTGTCTTGCAACTTCTTTCCCTCTCCTCCCCTTCTCTTCTTTTCCTTTCCTTTTTCTGAACTTCCTTCTCTTTCTTTTTTCTTTTCCTTTCCTTTAATTTCTTTTTTAATGAGGGACCACTGTGATTGACTACATCTGAATTATTCTGGATCTATGTCTTTATAAAAGAACATTTCCTGGACAATAATATATTGCTGTATAGTTATTATTAATAGTATTATTATTTTTCCTTTTTGAGAGGATGAAATACTTATGAATTTAATTTTGTAAGTATGACTTATATACACAATATTCCATCTCATCTTAGAAAGGGAAGATACTAATGTAATACCAATCTATGTACTTTACCTATTTGCTTGCAAAAATGTGTAATAAGATAAGAAAATATGGAAATGTTGTGATCAATAAAGCGTGTCACACACAACCCCTGAAAGAGAAAAGGACTCAACTGAAGCCTGAATGTGTTTAAGAGAATATTTAAGTGGCCCCAGAGAGAGTAATTTGGTTATGACTACAAAAAGAGGGATGCAAATTTAAAAGGCATTCAAGGACTAATCTCCTGGAAATAGTCCTTGGTAGCTCTAATTGATACATCCTTACCTGTGCACAGTTTACCCATTTGCCATTTGCCTGTCTCCAGTCTGTTAGCACAGCTGTGGTCAGTGTGAAGTGCAGTGGCAAATAAGCTGCATTTAGGGTTTGTATATTCAACTGCTAGGGCCATGTTGAGTAAGCATTGGGCGTGCAATAAATGATGATAAGTTAATCAAATGACTAGAAGGGAGACTGGTTGTAGCTTTAAGAAAAAATTTCCCCAGACCTATCTTCTGAATTGTAATCTGAATGGCAAGGGCGAGTTCCTGATTCCAGAAGATGCAGATGTAGGGCACTATGTATGGGTAAACCACCAGAGCAGTCTCCTACTGGTAGACAAAGAAGCATGGTGACAGGGCAGGGACTGTCACAGCAAGAGAGGGCACCTCTGAAAGGTTGTCTGCTGCAAAAGAAAGAAGTTCTGAGCGTGGGCTGCAGCTGTTTCAAAACAGGCCCTCTGCTGACACTGAGGAGCAGGGCCAGAGGATAGGGACTATGAACCTGGACTT